CTGAATCCCACCACTGGACTATATAGATTCCCCCCCCCCCTTGTTGAGTGGAATGTGAGTTACCCAAATCCTTCTTAGTAATGAAAAACTGAAAAATACAGTAACTTCCAAGCTGCTTAGAGTTGAATGACTGAAACAGCATAAAAGCATTCAAATAAATAGATACACGAGTAAGACTGGCTGAATTTAAAACACCCATGAATTGTTTCATTATTGCTTGAATAAAATGTTGTCACTGATCCAAGCATTTATTTAAGTTAAAATTTTGTTCTATATCATAGCTGATCCAAAGCATTTCGACAGGTTGATATAAACGCCACCAAGCTGAAAAAGAATCAGATGATCAGCTTGTTTTTCTCCATGTTAGACAGGTAACAATATAAAAACCAAATATGCTAATGAAAGGACAGTTTTTTGCTAAATACGTTCTGAGATACCTGACAAGGTGAGGTGGAACTGATTGTCACCCCAGCTCTGAGTAGATTTTTAATTTTTCTGACTGATTTTTGAACATGTCAATTAATTAATTTTTCATCTCTTGTATAATAATTTCTCAAAATGTAGCAAATGTGTTTACTGCATCTCCTCTATAGGCTTAAGAACCTGACATCAGTTTGTGTAAATCACAATCTCCTTTTCTTCTCCTTTCTTGGTTAATTCCAAACATGGACTAGTTCACTTGTCTAAACATGTATCTGTTAAAACTTGGCTGGCATCAGGGAATGAATGATTACTAAAAAGCTACACTGATCTTACTGTGATCTTGTCACTGTTGTTCCTATTCCTTCTATTTAAAAATTAGTTATCTCTTTTTTTCTCTTAAAAGAGAAACTGATCCAGATGGTTAAAAAGCATGGCTATCGGTGGATGTGTTACAAATTGGACTAGAAATAAGAATGATAATAGGAAACAATAGAACTTCAGAGAAGCAAATTATAGGGAGAAATGATGGGCTTAAGCCACAAGAAAATTCAGATTTTCCCCCTTCATTAAAATTTTGCTTTGTCACCATTCTGAGGAACAGTCTGGGCCCTTTGACATTAATCTAAATATCCAATCACTAAGTTTTATCACCTCTTTGAACATTCTGCCTATCAAAGCTTTTAGGCATGTTAAGGATTGTATCTTCAAATCTGGGTATCTTTCTTTAAGAAGAGGTAAGAAATGTGTTTGGTGTACCCCTCAGTATTTTATAAGTTTGCATTAGAAAGTCAGCTAATTCTGATGGCAATATCTGGCTGATAGAATCATTCTCTTGTTTAATGAATTCTGTTTCTTGATGCACTCAAAGGAATCTAATTCATAGTTTGGGATTCAATATATTAAGGTGTTGAATATTTGAGAAACTTTTGAAAACAGCTTGTTGTTTCACAAGAAAGATATTCTATTGATGCTCAGCCCTCAATAAGAACTCTATTCATAATAAAGAATGGGGTTAGTAATGAAAGTCCAAGCCTCGAGCAGATATATGTTTGATAGGCCTGATATCTATGGAGATTCTCAATCATCCAGGTCATAGTTGTCCCAAGGATGCTTTTTCACAAGGCAACTGGAGTTTCTTGTTTTGCTTCTCATCCAAGAAGCTTCTTCAGCTCTGAATGGATGGTGGGGAATGGAAGGGTTTATATTCCTTGCAGACAGCTGGTCATTTGCATTCTTTTAGAGAGTCGTTGATGCCATCTGCAGGTTTATCTGTCATCAGGGTCACCTGAGTAATGCAAATGGGTGTGGAGCCTTCTTGGAACTGTTGAAAGAACTGTGTTGCAGACTGATAATTGATGATGTCATAGCCCTTTCCCTCTGTTGAGAGAGGGCTGGTCAATTTTGAGATAGAGGCCTCTTTGACCCCTCTTTCAAACTAGCCGTCCTTTCTGCCCAAAATCTGGACTTTGGTGTCTTCAAAAGAATGGCCTTTGTCTTTTAAATGCAGATGGACTGCTGAATCTTGTCCTGATGGGTTTGTTCTCCTAGGCTGTGACAATCAGGACAAGATTCACAACTCTCTAAAAGAATGCAAATGACGAGCTGTCTGCAAGGAATATAAATCCTTCCATTCCTCACCATCCAGTCAGAGCTCAAGAAACGTCTTGGATAAGAAGCGAAAGGCCTTCCAAAAAACCCCAAGAAACTCCAGTTGCCTCATGAAAAAGGATCTTTGGGATGATAGGCCTGATAAATGTGGCAAAATCAAATGGTTCTGCCCTAGCTGAAATCTTTGTTGTGACTCTTGTTGGGCTTTAATCATGTGGATTTACTTTCCTGCAGCAAGGATGCTTGATGCATTGTTTACCTTAAAAAGTCTTTCATATGCAGCCACTGTATGTGGAATATGTTCTTCTGTGAAACAATCATATGGTGGTAAACTGATTACACTTGATATGCAAATTCAACATTTGTGAGTAATGCCACCATTTAGATATAATTTCCCACTTAAGCATCCTTCTGACAAGAACAAATATGCTACTTGCATGGGAAATGCCCAAGCAATATGGCATAGCAGCATCTGATCTCATCTTTGCAGCACTGTGTAAGGAAGTCAGTATCATTCTAGAGTCAATTTGAGTCACTGGAGAACCACTGCTGTCTGAATTGCAAACATGACAAATGAACCGTACCTAGTGCTTCACTGCAAGCTGGTTTCTCATAGAAAGATCAGATCAAGATAATTCGGGCATAGTTATGAATGCTGAAATGCTTAATTAAGCTTTCATAATTGACTTTCAAAGGGACTAACATCAAAATATCAATCAAAATATCAAAAGGAGCCGAGGTGGCGCAGCAGTTAGAGTGCAGTACTGCAGGCCACTTTAGCTGACTGTGTTCAGCAGGTCAGCGGTTCAAATCTCACCGGCTCAAGGTTGACTCAGCCTTCCATCCTTCCGAGGTAGGTAAAATGAGGACCCAGATTGTTGGGGGCAATGTAAATATATATATATATATATATATAGTATATATATATATATATATATATATACATTGCTTACTGGTGTACACCGCTTAGAGAGTGCTTGCACTTAAAGCGGTATATAAGTCTCATAAATAAATAAATAAATCTCCAAAACATAGCCACAGTTTTCTTAAGGCAAGTTTTAAGATTTACAATGCTGTTCCTTCTTTGAACCATAGATGCAGAGAGTTTGCCAAGAGATGCTTTCTGTCATATCTAGTGCAGACAGCAAACAGGTCTTCTTCTGCAGTAGCATGATATAAGACAGATACTCATCTGGGACATTAGGTTCGTGGTGAAAGGAAATCCCAAAATATATAGAACTATCAGGCCCTGCCCCAAATTTAACCAATTGATGACAAATTTCAGGAGTATGGACTTGTCCACTCATCTCTTAATCCACATAACCATATGGAGATGAAATAACTTTGACCATGAAATACCTTTTAGAGCATTCTGACCTGTGCTAGCCAGCCCATCTTTTGAGATTATCATCAGAGGTCTTCACATTTACCAGCTACCAATGGATATTTGCTGGTCCATTCAAAAAGAGCACAGTTTGTTAATAGATATGGAGATTCTCCATTATCCAGGTCATGGTTGTCCCAAAAGTGGTTTTTCAAAAGACAATTTGAACTTTCTTGTTTTTTTTTTCCTTGAACATGTTTCGCTTCTCACCCAAGAAGCAGAACTGAGGAAGCTTCTTGGATGAGAAGCAAAATGTTTTCAAGGAAAAACCAAGAAGGTTTTGAAGCACCTTTGGGTTTGTTAATAACTCTTCACCCCAGAAATTACTTCCCAAATTGCCAATTGTGCCAGAGCCATATCTGTCAACCTCCGGCTGAAAAACCCAACTAAGAAAAACACCAGAGCCATTAATTACTCTACTGTAATCTTTAATGAGCACAATCATTACGGTAGGTTCAAAGTGAAAGCTAGCTCTTAAGAAATGTCGGGAAACATTTAATTAAAAGAACGAATCTCCTCCTCTCCTCTCTGAAAAGTTCAGGTCACACTGTCCAATACATATCCTGGTAATTATTATGAGAAGGTACGTGAGTTTTGCCAAAACAAAACTTCTGGTCTCATGATGATAAGGACACATGTGGATTCAAAGTTCACCCCTTCTTCCTCCCGGTTGGCAAGCTAGAAGCACGCAGCGGTCCTAAAGGCAGTAGTGTTCGTAGCTTGAAAGTATCTGTGTTTCAAAAATACAGAGGTCCACTAGATGGCAGTAACCAATACAGAAAATGCTGATGCTTTGTTGCCATCCCATAAACATTTGATTTTTTTGCATCCCAGATATAGCAGCCCTATCTTGAACCTTTGAAATTCCCTCTGCTTTGTGGATTTTCCATTAAATTATATGAGTAGATGAGATCTTTTTCTTACAGTAGCAGACTGGATGTTGGGTGTTTCTGTTTTAACTGTACTTTAATATTTTACTCTTTATTATGGTGCCTTTAAGCAGCTCAGAGACAAGAATCCTTATTTATCAACCTCATCCATGTTTTGCAATACCACTTCTCCTGTTATTGCTTTTATTTTTGAGCCAGAAGTACTTAAAAAAAAAATCACCAAAAGCCATACTGCAAATCAATAAAACCACCACCTTCATCGCTACAAGTTACCCTGTGTGTGGTTTTAGAATGAGAGGTAGGAAGGCATTGACTAATGTTTTCAATATTCAAAATGTAAAATAAATAAATATACCATTTTCATTGCTGCATCACTCCTATGCATTTTGATACTATGCAACAGCCTCCAGAATTATTTTGGAAAATACATTGCCCCACATTGTTTTAGAGCAGAGGAGGGAAATTTGTCATATTTCAAATGATGTTAGAACAATAGGGTAGCCAATGGTGAGAGATGTTGAAGATAAGTTACAGGTTGAGGACCAAAAACCCGGTGGTTTTGTGGTGGGAGTATTTGAAGCAATGGTGGAATTCGTTTAATTTTCTTAAACTACTGGCTGTCTAAATACATTCTGAAAAAAAAAAAGTTCCTTTCATTTTCATTTTAGGAGTAACACTTTGTCTTCTGATTACAGGCAATGAAAGCTTAGAAGAAAATTATGTCCAAGACAGTAAAATGGGATTTGTTATCAATGCAATCTATGCTATGGCTCATGGCTTACAAAGCATGCATCATGCCCTTTGCCAGGGCCAGATTGGACTGTGCGATGCTATGAAGCCAATTGATGGAAGCAAACTTTTGGAATTTCTCCTAAATTCATCATTCACTGGAGTCTCCGGAGAAGAAGTGCGGATTGATGAAAATGGAGACGCTCCTGGAAGGTACAATGCTATAAGATCATCACTGTTTATTCATCTTAAGTCCGAATATAAATGTCTGTGTTTCTACTACTGTGTACTGTTTGTAGTATACACAAGAATATTCCATGAAGGCAATTAAAATGAGTAAAGAAAATCTGTCACAAGCATGCTTTGTGGACCATAAAGTTTTATTTTCTGCTTGTTTCACAAATTCAAGGTGGCCTTACACAGCTTAAGATGTTCTTTCAGAAAAGAAATAGGGTAGTGGAGATATACCACTTCACCAATATCAGTGAAGTACAAAGGTGGCTTGCTTGGCTTGGCTTCATTCATAAATTCATTCATTTCAATTCAAGAGCTTGCCTTCAGAAATCATGGGCGCTCCATCACTGGAGGTTTTTAAGAGACTGGACAGACATTTGTCTGAGATGGTATAGGTTCTCCTGCTTGAGCAGGGGGCTGGACTAGATGACCTCTAATATCCCTTCCAGCTCTATTCTATTCAATGTTATTAAAGAAAACTATATGTATATTTCAAATTAAGGAGGAAAAAACTCACAAAGAAGCTAGAGAAGTTATCTTCTTTTACCCCGTTCCCCAAATCTGGATTGACTATAAAATAGCAAAAGGAGCCTACAGTTATCTTTTAGATATAATTAATAAAAGCCCAGATGATAAATGGGACTAGTGTATGCAGTGTAATTTTCTACTGAAAGCATGAGCAATGAGATTCGGTTTAAATTAAACTTGGCAAAGCTGTCATCAAATAAACATATCTTGGTGCCTGACAACAGCCTGTTTTCACTTCAGAGACATTTAGAAAAAGTCTTCTGAAAATGTTTATCACCTGCTAGATTCATATAGGAGTAACTAGTGTTTGTTTTTTTTTTAAATATCCAGGTCCCCAATCTGTAAGGGACTTGAAAAGTCAGTGCTTTGTATTTTGGCTTGGAAAATGTCTCAAGTCAGCAGAATCCTAGGTGGTCTTGGTGACCTTGAATGCTTTTTACCACTTTTGATTAATTCCCCAGTTGCAGCCATAAGTAGAAGGGAAAGATCACTGCTGTATGTGGTATGTTAGCCTGTTTTCAAAGATGACCCTAAATATTCTTTTAATGAAGAATTTAGTTGTTGGAATCTTCTCTGGTTGACTTGTTCATCTTTCACTCAATCTAAAATAATGAGGTTGATGCATGTTTGCTTCTTCCCTTGGTTTAGGGGTGCTTGAAATAATCTGCAGTTCAGATCCCTACAGGAACATACTCAATGCCTATAGAGATTCTCAGTCATCCAAGTCATGGTTGTCCCAAAGGTTCTTGTTCAAAAGAAGGCAATTGGACTTTGTTTTTCCTTGAAGACCTTTTGCTTCTCATCCAAGAAGCTTCTTCAGTTCTGACTGAATGGTGGATGGAAGGATTTATATTCCTTGCATTCATCTGGTCATTAGCATTCTTTCTGAGAGTCGTTGAGGCTACCTGGAGGCACAATTGTGCCCTCAGGGTCACCTGAATAGAAAAAGCAAAGTTCAGTTGCCTTTTGAAAAAGCATCTTTAGGAACATGCTGTCTTCCACTTGTCTGTCATAGCTGTCAAGATTCTTCTCTGAGTCCCCATTAATATCATGCATTACACCAGAATACTCTTCCTGTACATCCGAGCTTTTCTTCTCTTGCTCTGCTCGAAGGGCAGCTTCTTCAGCTGCTACTGCTTCTAGTCTTAAACGTTCAGCCTCCAGTAGTTTGGCTCTGTATGCTTCTTGGATTCCAAAGATCCTGCTTCGTTCCCTGTCTAAGGATGCCTGTCCAAAGATAAATATACACAGTCCATGCAAAATCAGTATGTATCTATGTATGCATCTCTCTCTCTCTCCCTCTCTCTCTCTCTCTCTCTCCTCTCCCCACATTTACACGTATATACAGAAACCTCTGATAATAGTGGCACCAGATGAGGTTCATGTATTCTAAAATTACTTACGTCTTTTCCTTTGCCTCTTTATTCAGCTAATGGTCTATATCAGTGGTTCTCAATCTTTTTAATGCCGTGACCCCCAACCGGTCGTAAGTTGAGGACTACTCAACCGGTCGTAAGTCAAGGACTACTCAACTGATGCAGCACCGTTTGCAGAATGGGACTTTTGGCGGGCTCAGCAGGGCAGAGACAGCCTGGACAATTCCTATTGGCTTTTGAAAGCCAATAGAATTAGACTCTATTCAAGAGAGTCTATTCTATTGGCTTTCAAAAGCCAATAGAATAAAAGGGAGTAGCACAGCTAAGGAAAAGGGGGAAAAAAGGGCGGACTGCGTTGTTTGGCAACCCCCGTGAAATGGTCGTTCGACCCCAAATGGGGTCCCGACCCACAGGTTGAGAACCACTGGTGTAAGTGAATACTTCTAGTGCCACTTTGATACTTTACAATTAAGGAATATTTCAAACATAGTGCCTTTGTGCCAATAGAATCAAAGACTTAATTCATGGGTGTCTTTTTTTTTTTTTTTTTGCTTCAAGGGGAAAGATGAGGCATGAGTGAAGCTCAGCTGATTCTGCTGGTATTTTGCAGGAGCATCAGCAGAATTAATTGATCTGTGTTACAAGTAGAGCATTTAATTTGCTGAAGTGGATCAATATTAGACTATTGAACTAGGGGGTCTGTAATACTCTGCCCAGAACATCAGGACTAATATATACTAAGGTCGGAAGTTTTCACTGCATTTTAAAATTCTCTCTCTCTCTCTCTCTCTCTCTCTCTCTCTCTCTCTCTCTCTCTCTCTCTCCTCTCTCCTCTCTCCTCTCTCCTCTCTCTGTGTGATATTATTAATGTTTCTTAATAAAATATGTACACCTTATTAAATAAAGCTATTGAGATGTCACATACAGAATTTGGAATAATTCTGTATGTGGCATGAATAAATAAAGTGGCTTGACAGTATTGGAATGTAACTACTTGCATTAATCTTGAAGGAGCAATGTTTGATACTATCCACAGTATTCAGGACCCTCAGCCATAGCCTCCTTCTAGGGCACGGGGTCTCCAAACCATTTCCCGTGGGCTACATTCAGCCTTCCAGAAGGTTCTTTCCAGCCCACCAGCTCTTCCTATGTGCTGTTCTCCCTTGGATCATTTCTGCCCCCCCTCTCCGGTGTGCAAAGAAAACCCCATCTGAACTGACTCAGGATCAGCTGGATGAGGAAGAGGAAGCTGACCGGAGGATTGCTTCCTTTACCTGGGGTGGGTGGGTGGGGGAAGTGATCTGGACTGGTTGGACACTGGCCTTATCCAGCAGAACTTCTCTCTGTTTTTATGTTTTATTCCCCGTTTGCTAAGGTTTGACATTCTTCTTATATCATTTGTCCATACAAGCATGGCATCATTTTTTTTTAATTTTTATTTTTCCTTTTTTTTTCTTTACAAACAAACATAATACACAATACATTTTTTCTTTTCCCTTAACAATTTTATGTCCTATATCTGTTTAGTTTATTTACATTTATTTACATTACTTCTCATACATTTTTATTCCAGGCATCGTTTTTTCACTTCTCTTTTCTTGTTGTGGGGAAAATAAAACACATTTGCTCAGTTAAATTTTATTCGCTCATTCATAAAACTGATTTTATAATGTTTGCAAAATGTCCATTATGGCCCTCAGACTGAAAAGTTGGGAGACCCCTGTTCTAGGCCATCTGTGGGTTCTGGGAGTTTTACAATGTTTTCACTTCTACCTTGAGTTGTTCTAATCAATCCTCAGGGAGGACGTAGGTAAGCACTCACGTCCTTAGGAACTCTGCTCTGGCTTTGGACCTTTCCTAGATGTGTGAAACTGGTGGGGAAGGCTTTCTGTTGGTTTGGCGTGAAAAGCTACTTCATGGTAATTTGTTCTTCCAGAACAGATAGGGATATGGCACAGAGGAATTCCTTAAAGATGAGAAATCAAAAATCAATCATCTTGGATGTGAACAACAATATGTGCAGCTAAGAACTATGCAGCCTATTAAATCTGTCCCTGAACAAGATAAACAGAACGGAACGGAACGGAACGGAACAGAACAGAACAGAACAGAACAGAACAGAATAGAATAGAATAGAATAGAATAGAATAGAATAGAATTCTTTACTGGCCAAGTGTGATTGGACACACAGGAATTTGTCTCTGGTGCATACGCTCTCAGTGTACATACAAGCAATAAGCGATAAATCATGATTATAATCAACAAAAAATACATTCATCATAAATCATAAGATACAACACTTAGTCATAGGATACTAAATAAACAAACAACATAAATCATACTAGCATACTAAATAAAACAATTAATACAAATCATAAGATACAAGCAACAGTTATAGTCATAAGAAGATAAGGAGATAGGTAATAGGAAAGATGAGAAGAATAATAGTAGTACAACCTTGCTGAGTAGTTTGACAGTGTTGTAGGAATGAATTTTTTTAGCAGAGTGATTGCATGGGGAAAAAATTGTCCTTGTGTCTAGTTGTTCTGGCTTGCAATGCCCTATAGCAGCGGTTCTCAACCTGTGGTCGCGACCCCATTTGGAGTCGAACAACCATTTCACGGGGGTCGCCAAACAACGCGATCCGCCATTTTTTTTCTCAGCTGGTGCATGGGGCGGCGCTGCCCCTGCGCACCGCGCAGGGGGCGGTGCATGGGGCGGCACCGCGCATGCATGCTGCGCAGGGGGCGCTGCCGTGGATGCGCGCCATGCAGGGGGCGGCGCATGGGGGCAGCGCCGCGCATGCGTGCCACACAAGGGGCAGCACCGTGCATGCGTGTCACGCAGGGGGTGGCACCGTGCATGCATGCCGCGCAGGGGGCGCCGCCACGCATGTGCACCGCCTGCTTATGATCGGGGTCGCCGGTCTAAAAAGATTGAGAACCACTGCCCTATAGCGTCATCTTGAGGGAAGAAGTTGAAACAATTTATGTCCAGGATGTGAGGGGTCTGTAAAATGTTTTCACAGCCCTCTTTCTTGCTAATGTAGTATATAGGACCTCAATGGAAGGCAGG